ATGGCCCATAACGCCTCTTTTAAAAAATTCATATAATTTAATTTTAAAATACATTTTAAAAAAACTTAATTTTATTTTTATAAATATATAATAAATAACTCAGTTTATTATTTTTATTTTATATTTCTATTATTTTTGTTTTTTTTATTTTTATTTTTTTCTTACACAGTGTCGCTATGGGCTACATTGTTTTTGTTAGTCCATCAAATGTGCTGGCCCAACCTATAGCGACACTGGTGTGGCTCATTCCAGCCAACCTAAAAAAAAAAAGCCACGTGTCATGGATGTCATTATGACTCATAGCGACACCGTTGTAAACAGCCCCAAAAATGTAATTAATTATAGAGCAGCCCCATTTACGTAAAATATTTTTAAAAGAACCCCAATGGTCAATCACCCGCAATACCCTCCTTACACCACGAATATTGATGTTACACTTACTAGTTGTTACCCCCATAATGGGAAATAATATAATAAAATATAAAGAGAGCTAAAATTTAACATGTGGTTCGGTGAAGCATGAAGTTGTGTTGTGGAAGTAAACACAAGCACTTTACAGAAACTACATATATTCTATTTTGGGATTGGGTGTGCGCTTTACACACAGAGTGAGACACAACGTTATCTCTCAAAAAGTCTAAATATAGCTATTAATGTCCAAGTAAGTGTAACCCTTTTGAAATAGGGCAGTTAAATCATTCAAGATTCAAATCCATAACTAAAAGATAATAATCCAATTGAATGTGACACTAAACATGGCTTCCACAGTTCAAAACTCTTTTCCAACAATGCCAATGGATTGGGGCCTACTAATTAAGTTATATGTTTTCCACCGCATAATCATCATTGTAATAATGTGGCCAAGCAATTAATTACTCCACTACTCTCCCAGAAATAAGTACAGCGTAGAATAAGCATAAGAAACTTCAATTTGAAGCAAAGTGATTCACACGGATCTGTGGAACCGGTTTCCACCAAAAAGCAGTGAAAACTGAAGATCCTTATTAATTGCGAAAGAATATTAGGAAAAAAAACACACAAAAAGATTCAACTAGCATGGTGTTGCGTTACCCTTCCATTTGAAAATTGAGGTTCAAACTAAGGTAGCTAGGTCCTTTGTCAACATCAAGAGGCCATGCCAGAGAGACGTTTATGCAATTAAGGTCACACACTCACATTCACGCTTTCCTTTGATAGCAACTTGTGAGCTACAATGAGTTGAAGTGAAGATAAGATATGTCTCGGAGTCAAAGTGTTCACTGTCCTTCCTTCAACACTAACCGTTAATCGCTTCACCAAAGCACGTTGCTGTTGTTGTTGCTGTTGTGATAGTTTTCTTTCCTTGTCTTTTCACCATATACTGTTCCTTTGCTTCTACTCTCTCACTCTCCAGAATTTGGCTTTTTGCTGTGATGTGAAGCCTCTGGTTCCTTCACGTTGCAAAGTTTTCATCTTTGTTCTTTCTTGTATATTGGGTTGTTGAATTCAACTTGTTTGAAACAAAAAAGTGAAAATGGAAACTGGGTCGAGTTCGGAGTTCTTAGATAGGGGAAAGGCTATGAGGGGTGGTGGCACTGGAATGAAGCATGATGTTGGTGCTGCCAAAGCCAAAGTTGAGCCCTTTGTGGCAAGAAGTGATCACGATCCTCAGGAGTTGAGGTCTTGGGCAAAGAGAACTGGGTTTATGTCTGATTACTCAGGGGAAGCTGGGACTAGTGCCAGTGAGAAGTTTGATAGTGTAGGGTTTGATGTGAAGAGTGTTGATGATCAGAGAGAAGGAGGGTCCTCTCCCAAGATAGAGATTGATCCGGTGCTGGGGTTGGCGAGGCCTAATAGGGACAATGAGATTGAACATGTTTTTGTGTCAAAACATGGAGCCATGAGGAGTGAGAATGAGAAAGTTTTGAGGTCAAAGGATGCATGGAATGGGGCAGTGGAGAGACAAAACCAGAAGAGAAAAATTGGGGATGAGCCTGCTTTGTATATGGCTGGTGATGGTGACAAGAAAGTTGGGGTAAGAGGGAATGGTGATGCTAATAGAATGGTGGTGAGTGCGAATAGGGATAGTAATAGCCATGGAGTTTCTGCAGTTGCTCCTCTGCCAGAGCAGAAGAAGGAAGAGGGAGTCGCTGAAGATGTTAAGGTGAATCTGTTTCCAGAGGGGGAGGAACCTGCTTCTAGAGGGTGGCAGGGACCATCTGGATTGAAGTACGGGATCACAGAAAATCCGGGTCTTGGTTAGTTTTAAATTTTAATTCAATTTTCTGTTTCTCACATCTTAGTAAGAGTGCTAATTTTGGATAATTCTAAATCAGTCTGTTTGGTTTAACTTGAATTTGGTTAATAAAATTCTGTGTCTCAACGCTTATGTTTTTTTCAGCAATATAGTATATTTTAATCAAGTCCATTAATCATATGATCTTAGAAGAGAATAGTACTAATTTTTTCAGCAATATAAATTTTTGTTATGAAGTAATTTAGCTAGCTTGTGTGTGTTTGTTTTGGGTGTTCACAAATCGCAAGACCAAAAGTCTGTTCAATTATAAAAAGTAGATTGTCCTCAAGTTTAAGTCCATATATATTACGAATTTTAGTACTGTTTGTTTCAATATATTTTCATAAATTCATCAGTCATGCAATCTCCCCCTTAGTTTGAGTGCTGTTCAACATCTCTTGCTATTTATGAAGTTGTGTTTGATGAAGGGTTCAGTGAATCTCCCCCTTAATCCTGCTTCTGTAGTTATTACTTCTTTTGATTTACCTATCTTTAATTGCAGTACCTCTTATTTATTACGGCCTACAGCACTACCTATCATTGGTTGGCTCGCTAGTATTAATCCCACTAATCATGGTACCAACCATGGGTGGAACCGATGTAAGATATGCCTTTATGTAATGACCCTAGGAAAATTTATATGATACCTTTCCATATTCATTTTTATTCACTTGCACATCAATGATGACAGAACGATACTGCTAATGTAATTTCTACAATGCTGTTTCTTTCCGGCGTCACAACGATACTGCATTCCTACTTTGGAACACGACTACCTTTAGTTCAAGGAAGCTCATTTGTGTATCTGGCGCCAGCATTGGTTATCATGAATGCTGAAGAATTTCGAAATCTTACACATCATGTAAGTTCACTGACAGACAGAAAATGTTAAGTAATTGTCCTTAAGCTCTTTCAGGTTTGTACAATTACATCAAGTAATTTAAATCCTAGTAAACTATGTGTATTAGTACCTGCAAAAAAAATGTTAGAACTTGCTAACGTGCATGATACCCGTGTTTAAACAATTAACTATTTTAATCACTAGAATGGTTTTTTCCTTTTTGCTTCTTTCTGCTTTGATGCATCTACCAAAATTCTTTGTTTTGGATCAACCCAATGTTGGAGATTGTTGTTCACAAATCACATTTAACTTGGATTTTTGTTCTTCTGGTTGGTAACTATTCCCAGTTTCCATAGTAATGCCTGCTTATAACTGCAGAAATTTAGACACATAATGAGAGAACTCCAAGGAGCTATAATTGTTGGTTCAATATTCCAATGTATCCTGGGACTTAGTGGTTTCATGTCTCTCCTTCTCAGGTAACAAGAAGTTGCATGTTATATTTCTTGTGTTGACCAGTGCTTGATAAATTTCTGGTGGGAAAGAAATATCTTTCATCTTTTCCTTTTCAATTTAGTAAAATATATTTATTTTGTTACTTGGCTAAGCTGTTACATTGTTAAATACTCTCTCCTTCTCACGTGTAAACAAATATCAATTATTTTCATCCTATTTTATGATATTCTCATCAAAATACTCTTCATTTAATTGTGATTGGATTTACAGAGACTTATATTTATTCTTAATATTAACTTCTAATGAAAGGTAGTTTTTGAAAATAGTTTATTTTTAAATGAGATTGGTAAAATTAAATGATGTTAATTAATATTATTAATTAGCATAATGTTTGTTTTTGGCTTATATTTGAGAATGGAGGAAGTAATTAATACTAATGTGTATGAAGCATCTCCAATGATAGAGTTCTTAATATATTTTTTATGAACCTCTTAATGCCACGTATAATTTAAGAATTTTTCTATATTTTGCTCTAATAGAAGAACTTAATTGTGGTTCTTAATTCACCTTATGTGAGTTTCATAATAGACCCACTTTCTTTCTTTTTTTACTGCAAAAACCCAATTCTTGTGGATTCTTATTAAAGAACCAGTTCTACACATGAAAGCCATGTCACTATACTCCACTGGTGAAAAAAATAAGAACTGATTTTTATTCTAAGAACCCATATAAGAATCTCTCATTAGAGATGCCTAATAGATACACAAGTGCATAAATATTGTTGTTTTTTTAATATTTCTGGTTAAATCGTCTAAGCCTTTCTTTTAATCTCTTCTGTCAAAGAATTTATATTGTTGCAATAAAGTTGTTAGAAAAACTGAACATAAAACATGGTATAAGACTAATCAAACAAAGCAGTAGGACAAAATAAAATAAAATAATATATATATAAGTTAATTACTTATACACTATCAGTATAAAGTTTTTTTACACTGGTAACCCATCATATCTTTTAATAGTATCATGTCAGTTGCTTATTTAATAAAATAAAAATAAAATAAACTCATTTAAAAAATATGATTGTTTGACGGTGTAAAAAAACTTTACACTGACAGTGTATAGGTGATTAACTCTCTCTCTATATATATATATATCCTGTAGGACTGAACACTAAGACGGTAAGATTAAACAGAAAGACTACAGGGCAAAACAGAAAAATCACTCAAATGAAAAAGAGGAACAAAAGCCTATCATTAAATTTCACAGGACCGGTGATTGGAATTACGATTAGGACTTGTCACATGGGTACAACACAAAAATGTTTTTAACTTATTTCAGTAAGCATCACTGTCAAGCTTAGGAATAAGCACTCATGTGATAAACTTTTATTAAATAAGTATTTAGTTAAGTAGTTTGTTCGAATGTGTCCTTTAATAACATAATGTGATATGAATTTATATTGGTGAGTGAAGTGAAGCACAAAAGTTATTGAAATTTCATCTGAAGAAAACTATATTAAGACTTGAGGCTGAGTCTTATGTGTTATTCATTGCAATTTTATAACAATTTTTTTATAGGATAATCAACCCAATTGTGGTGGCTCCAACTGTTGCTGCTGTAGGTTTAGCATTCTTCAGCTATGGCTTTCCACAAGCTGGCACTTGCATGGAAATTAGCATTCCGCAGATAGCATTGGTTCTAATATTCACACTGGTGAGTTATGACCTAAGTAATGGCTGTAAAGTTGCTTCTTGTCATATTAAAGAGGCTGTGTTTGCCTCATGTAAAAAAATTATTGACTTTTGTCCTTTAATTAAACGTTTTCAGTTGTTTTCTGAAACTCATACCGATGGATGTTTCTGTTATTGTTTATTTGAAGCATCTTCGAGGAATATCTATCTTTGGACATAACACATTTCGAATTTATGCTGTAAGTATCTTGAACAAATATGTTCCGTTTTTAATTATTATTTTTTTTGAGACATGGCATAAATTACATGTAGTTTACGTTTCTTGTTTAGATTATTTTGTGGATAAAACTTAGATGCACTATCATGTGTTGTTGGTATTGTGGTATTGTTTTCTAGTTAAAATTAAAGTTTTGCCTCAGTAATATGTATAATAAAAGATTTCATTAAATGTCAATCCATATTATCAAAGTAAAACTCTAATTCTGATTATTGAATAGCATCAAAAATACCTGTTAGGATGCAAGCAAAGCCCCACATCATTCAAACAAGAGGATGAATATGAGTTTATATACACACAGTTGTCTTTATTGGTAGAGAGGACTTTTGGATGGTATCTAAAAGCAAAACTGTGAGGACTAAGTCCAAAGCAGACAATATCTTATCAACATGGAGACATGTGTATGTGTGTGGTAACCCCCAGTACCTAACAAGTGGTATCAGAGTGGTAGGTTTGGGATCTCTTGTGTCGAAAGTCTTCATAAACGGTGGAGGGTTAAAGCGGACAATATCTTATCAATACCTTTGGTATTGTATTTAAGTTTTGTCCTTATTTTTTCTGACAGGAATTCATAAACATTAGCCTGTCGTGTTGTTATGATGCATGTTGAAAATCATACACATAAAAAAGTAATGTTATAATTTGCTGGTTGCATTGTGTCTGATCTTCATTTCAAAACTCAAAACAATTGTATACTTCATTATGGAGTTGAGAACTTGAGATTACCAAGTTTTCCTTAATTAAATGTGGATATACTGACAAATTGTGTTGACAAACTTTTGAATATTTGCAGGTTCCCTTGAGTGTTACATTAACTTGGATATATGCGTCGTTTTTAACAGCCGGGGGAGCATATAACTACAAAGGATGCAATCCCAAAATCCCGAGTTCAAACATTCTGACAGATGCATGCAGAAAGCATGCTTATACCATGAAGCATTGCAGGACCGATATATCCAACGCATTGTTAACTTCTGCATGGCTCAGAATTCCTTACCCTTTTCAGTGGGGTTTCCCTATTTTCCATTTTAGGACTTGCATTATCATGGCCGTAGTGTCGCTGGTTGCCTCTGTGGATTCAGTAAGTACATTATTTACATGTTTGCAAATGCAAAATATCATCAGCATAGTATTATAACTCTAAGTGGTCTAATCAACTAGTCTTTTGGGTTAATTGGTACTTTCCTTGTGAATTATCTAATTTTTCTTGCAAGGGGTGGCAATGTTATGACTTATATATGACTTACGAATCACACATTAGGTAGAAGAAAGCACAATGAGATACTTAACTAGCTAGAAAAAATCAAAAGGGGCTCATCAAAACCAGTAAAATGTTATAGATATTTTGTATTTAAATTCAATAAAGTGGTATATACACATACACAAAAGAGAAAGACAGTAGTATCAAAAAGTAGATTAGAGAAATGCTAGCAATTCAGTCTTTGTTGTTGGCTGTGTTGGAAGAAAAATGTCACAGAATGTATTGGAAATTGTTCGAAACAGTGTAGCTAACACTCTTCAAGTAGTTATTATCAAAGTCCGAAACACCTTTTTTAAACATTAAGATGAATTTTCATGTTGAAAGCAAGGATCAAACATGATCAGAAACTAAGTGATGGACATGTTTGTTTTCCAGATTGGAACTTATCATTCTGCATCTCTGCGAATGAATTTGAGGCCTCCAACTCCAGGAGTTGTGAGCCGAGGAATTGCATTAGAGGGTTTCTGTAGTATATTGGCTGGTCTTTGGGGTTCAGGAACTGGGTCAACAACCTTGACAGAAAATGTTCACACAATTGACACAACAAAGGTGGCAAGTCGGAGGGTGGTGGAACTTGGAGCAGCTTTCATGATTCTCTTTTCCTTTATGGGTAAAGCAGCAAAACTTGATGACATAATCATAATTTGATGTCAAAATTATTAAAAGTCTGTGTGTATACAAGTTTAGAAGAGTTTCTTTACTGGAAATAAAACTTTTTTGTCACTATGGTCCAATTTATGGCTTTTTATTTTGCAGGAAAAGTGGGTGCCCTTATTGCTTCCATTCCACAGGCCTTGGCTGCTTCTGTACTGTGTTTCATTTGGGCTCTTATAGCAGCTTTGGGCCTTTCAAAATTACAGTATGGTCAATCTGGCAGCTTCAGGAACATGGCTATAGTTGGTGTTTCATTGTTCCTTGGTCTATCTATCCCTGCCTATTTTCAACAATACAAGCCTCAAACCAGTCTCATACTGCCCCCTTACCTGGTACCTTATGGGGCTGCATCTAGTGGACCATTCCATTCTGGCATTAAACAAGTGAGTATTTTCTCTATGCTCACACCCCTTGCCTTTTCTAAATATGAAATAGTATAAGAAGGAACATATTTGATAGGTCATACGTGAATATTCAAATCATCAAGTTTGACTAATTAGAATTAGAATTGATTTTGATGTGAAGTGATTTATGTTTTGGTGCATTGTTTCTAAAAATAAGTTAATAGTAAAACTTATTATAAAATATTTTATTCAACCCCATTGTCAAATGTTGTTTCAACTCAAAATCAATTTTGAACTCAATTAATTCTTCAAGGAAAATCATACTTGTACAATAAATTATGCAACAAGTGATACACCACCATTTTTGTATCTATCTCTCTGTTACATCTTTTATTACATTTATTAGTGATAAAGAGATAAACACACAAAAAATATAACTATGTACAAATTGTTGTATGCATATCATTACTCATTTTTCAATTGTGAACATTTACTTTAAATGTTAGTTAGTATTTCAATGTGATTTTAGATAACTCAACAAGAAACTGAACATGCACCAAGACTAATGTGAAAGTTTTTAATTTGTAGATGCAATTATTGCGATTAACAAAATTGTAAAAAGTTGCTGACAAATGTGGTTGCAATTAAAAAAGTTGTGAAAAATTGCAGATAAATGTAGCCACAAGCTGCAAATGCGACCAAGATGCAATCATAGAGAGAGTTTAAAATCTTAATATTGTGGCTACAACTGTAATTGCAGACTCAAATTTAAAACCATACTAATATCACATTATTATCAGCCGAAACATTTCTCTGAGTATGTGTGTAAATTTATGGCAACTAAACTGCTAGCTACTTAATTATTTTGGTGAAGATAAGCTAACTAGTGATTTGTAATTCCCTACCAAATGTTTCAGCTTGATTTTGCAATCAATGGTCTTATGTCCTTAAATATGGTGGCTACACTTTTGGTGGCATTCATTCTAGACAACACTGTCCCGGGAAGTCAACAAGAACGAGGGGTGTATATATGGTCACGAGCTGAAGATATTGCAAATGATCCCTCACTGCCATCAGCATATTCTTTGCCAAGGAAAATTGCTAAGTTTTTCTGTTGGGCAAAATGTTTGGGAGTCTGAATAATAGGCTATATCTGATTTATTTTATTCATGGTAACATTTACTTCTGATCCTTGGAGCTTACAAGATATTGAAGCTCATGAAGAATAAAAACAAATATACTTGGATTTAGGTGCAGCAGCCAGCAAGGCCAAATAGGAAATAGTTTAGCACTGATTTTGCTTGTGTAATATACTGCTGTATCACACAGATCAATTTCTGAACTCAAAACAAAAACAAAAATGGAAGTTATTATTGTTCTTGTACTGTTGTATATTTATATTTTTTAATCAATTAATGGCACGATTTTTTGTAGATTCGATTTGAATTTGGGTTTGCAATAAAAATCGAAAAAATGCAACAAATCTATATTTGTAGCCAATGGACTCAACCTTTCAACCGCTCAGAGTTATCTGAGGATATGGATTGGTATGAAAAGCAAAAAGGAGATGAAAATGTCACACCCCACAGTTAAAAGCTGGCATTTATGTGTTTCTATGGCTGTTTCATTACAGTAGAAAAAAGAAAGAAAAGTGAGTATCACATTTAAACCGGCCATAATTTAATTAATGTTAAAATATTTTTTAAGTCTATATAGTATTATTTACTTTATTTTTTAAGTATTCATAGTTTAAAATAATTTTTTTAATCTACATATTTATTTTTGTAATCTTTTTTAATTCATATAATTTAAGATAAATTTTTGTAGTTCTTATATTTGTAAGTTTTTAATCTTTTTAGTCTTTATTATTTTTTTTTAATGTTATATATTTTATATTAACATGACAGAAGTATTAATTCAAGTTTGTATATCTCATGTCAAATTTTTTCTATCAACATCAACATAATAGAAACAATCTTATAAAAGGTTAGGGACAAAGACTAAAAAGATTAAAAATATTATAAATATAAAGACTTAAAATTTTATCTTAAACTATAAGAACTAAAGAGTATTGAAAAAATAAATGTAGAGACCAAAAATATCTATTTTAAACTATAAAAAGTAAAATGTAAAATAAGTAAAATTATAGATATTATAAAAGTATTTTACCCTTTAATTAATTTATCTTTCGTTATATATTCTACATTCATTCTAAAGTTAAGTATTTTTAATTTTATACTTTCTGTGCCATAATGACTTCAATTTAATGTTTTTATATATAGATTAAAGATAATAATAAATATATCACTTTACAATTTCATTAAAATAACTTACTCTTTCAATAAATGCATTACTTTGACTTATAATAGTTGAATAATTTATATAAAAAAAATTAAAAAAAATTGATATTACATTAAAGTGAGAACATCATTTATTCATGATATTTTTATATTAAAATTGCAAAGATTATGGAACAGAAGGAATACTACATTCTATTTTATTTAAATTCAAAAATACTTATTGATTAAAAGAAAAAAAACAGCAATGATCCTTTATATGTCTATTTTGTGTGCCAAAGAGATTTAGTTAATTTGGTTGAGAATAGTGTGTGGATTGTTGTAAATCTATGTTACTATATTCGATTCTCACCGATCAAAAGATGTCTATCTTGTCTTAAAATAAAAAAAAAAATGTTACAAATTATTATCATGCATGTAAGAGGTAATTAAGTATGGGCAAAGAAACATGTGTGGAGTATTAATTTGCAAGTGTAGCTGATGATGTCTTGGTTTGCCAGTCTTCAATCAGGGAACGGAGGGTATGATTAGGGGTAAGTAATTTGTGGTTCAGCCTCAAATTTTTTGGTGATATTTCATGCCCCGATTGCAACCACTTTTCTATTGCTTCTAGCTCATAAGAAAATCCATCTGCTGCTATATGTGGATTTTTCATTATCTTCTGCACTCAACATTGCAAAAAATACAATCTTTAAGTTGCTTCCAAAATAAAAAAAATAATAATAAAGAGATTGGTATAAAGATTTTTAAATTATCAATTAATTAAAAATCAGTCTAAATAGTACAAAAAGTTAATAATAATTTTCAATTATATTATAATTTATGATTGGATGGTATATTCCAATTAAATTCTTATAATAATAGTTTCATATCGAATTTTGATCCAAACAAAAATACTGGCAGTAAAGTCTTTATCGATGTTTACAAAATAAGTAAAAGAAAAAATTTAGTTTTTTTCCTAATCTAATTAGAATTAAAATTTTATTTTAATAATTTATGTTGATTTTTAACACAAATTTCTATTACATGTATTGTTGAAGTGAATCTTTAATTTAAATTATTAAATAAAGAAAAAAAAATCATGCATTCATCATAAGGATGCTTACATTGTTATTTAGTCATGATAATTAAATTTGATGAATTTGATAACAATTACCTTATAAGTTACACCTAAACTAATTTTTAATTAGTTAGTAGTATTATTTTTTTTAAGTGCTTATCTATGTATTAAACTTTGAAACAATAATATCATATGTATTTAATTAATGTGTTACTGTCAGTATAAAGTTTTTTACAGTGGCAATCAATGATATCTTTTAAAGTTGTTTATTTTATTATTATTTCATTAAGTAAGTAACTGACATGACACTATTAAAAGATATAATTGGTTATCAGTATAAAATTTTTTTACACCGACAGTTTATAGGTAATTAACTCTTAATTAATTAAGAAATTGAATTTTTTTGGAGACTAACCTTAAGGATAGGGCAAACGAAGAAACTAGGCACGTGGGTGGAGTCATGTGCATCCACATGACCATTCCATCTATCCCTAGCAACCTTTTCATCACCCTTTCTCATAATCTCATTCAGTTCTTCCATCACTCTTGTTATGCTCATTTCTCCATTGGGCCCACACTCTATGGACATACACCTCATTGCTAAGCCCACCACTTCTCTTGCTACATCCAACGGCCATTGCTCACCAATCTCATCATAAAAAGCCTCACTATCAGTATCCATTGTCACCCAATTTCTTCTTCCAGTCAATAAGTTTTGCAATAAAACCCCTATTGCTTTCATTTCTGAATCATCGTTGCATTCTTCACTGCACCCTTCAAGCCCAAACCCTGTGATTTTTGCAACAAGGTTGCAGTCTAGGAGGATTTTGGATGGAGAAGGAAGGCAATGGATAATGGGCCTGGGCTGGGCTGCATTTAGAAAGCCCAGCCCAGAACAAACTTCAATGGCTATCCTTACGCGATCACGCCAGGTTAAGACACGGCTTCTGTTCATGCCGAATAGCATTTCCTCCAAGCTACCTCTGTTCATGTATTCCAAAACTAAGCATTTGGGCTCTGAGCAGAAGCCCAACACAGCAGCTAGATGAGGTTGCCGAATCCTACCAAGATATGCCACCTAAAACCAGATCAAAAAATATGTTAACTTTAACTTCAATAAAGTTGATAAAAATAAATAAATATTGAAAGATACTCGATAATAGATGGTAGAGATCTATGATAATAGTGGTGAAAATAATAATAATGATAATCTCATAAGAAAATATATGATTAAATTTTAATTTCAATAGCAGATTTTTATAATTAAATATTCTCATTTTTTTCATTTTTAAAAGTTTCTCATTTATATACATATAAGTCTAATTTCTTAAGTAGGAAATACAAAAGAATTATATAAACACTGATAAAATCTTAAGGTTTGTTCTGATCTTGATGAATTCTGAAGGCCCATCTAACTTAAAAGTTTTTGTCAACAAAAAAAAAGAATACAAAAGAAATTTCTCAAAATTAATGAATTTTTTAAAAAATAAAATTTTCATGAATTCACAAACATACCAAACCTTAACTAAACAACATTTGTTTACTTAATGAAATTAAATTTTTATAATGGTTTACATTTTTTTGACATACATTAGTTTTACCAGAATGTGCTCACTGTTTAAACATTTTACACTATTGTACTAACATAAGTTACCATTTTCTTTTACACTATTATTGTTATTGTTGTTGTGCTACAAAAGAAAAAATAATAATCTTGTGTGATGATTTATAACTAGGTAAACTTTTATTGTTGCTTGCTTTTACCTTGGCTTGGAACTCTAGTTGTGACAAATCTGAAGCAAAATTGAGCTTCTTGATTGCAACAGTGGAATGGTTAATTTGTCCTCTGTACACACTGCTCCAATTCCCACCAGATTTCAACCTCTTTTGCTCTGAAAAATTGTGGGTGGCTATGATGATCTCTTCTTTCGTGTACTCTCTGAAACCACAACCCTTTTCTATCATCCTACACTCATTCCTGTGACATCTTTTTCTTTGATAAAACTGAATTCTTCTGTTCAACCCTTCTCTTTGTCTCCTCAGATCATTCATTTCCATAAGCATCTCATTCTTCTCAGCCATTGCCTTCCCTAGTTCGCTTTCAGCTTGTGACATTGCCAATGTGCAAATGTGAAGCCTGTTTACGAGCTCTGATTGCTGCTCTGCCACTGAACTAAGCATTTCCTTGCTCTCTTTAATATCCATTCTAATTTCGTTAACTTCTTCTTTTTCTGCCTCCAGTTCCTTCTTTACTTCTTCCTTTCTTCTTGCTTCTTCCTTTATTAGAGATTCTAGTTCTTCTTCCTGCACAAACAATGGTGACTTCTCGGATCAGAATATGGGTGAAAAAATTTGAAGTGGGTCATCAAGAGAAGTCCAAAAGGAAAATGTTTGCATCTATTAATTATTTTTAGTATGATAAAATTAATTTTAACATAACGAAAAATTTAAGATATACATCTAAATTTTATAGTTTGATATAAAGACCTCAATTAAAAAACTACTCTCATAGATTTAATATTTTTTTTACAGTGGGTAACTTTTTTTAATAAAAACGTGATGAGAATTAAATTTAAGTCCTTTCATTTCTAGTTATTTCAATTTCATTCTCTATCTATTAGACTAATTTTAGTTATTAGATTTAATAATGTATTATAATTCAAAAGCTTAAGATAATAATGAGTCTTATCAATTATATTTGTTCTTATGTAATTCACTTCAAATCAATTTATCAATCATAGTTGGATTTTTTAAAATAAAAAAAAAAGCTGTAACACATCATAGAGCCCAATTGATTAAAAATATTATAATTACTAGGGAAAAAATACACTACATTTTTTATACACTTATAGAAAAATGTATAGTTACTTTTAATTTTTAAAAATAAAAAATATAAAAGAGAATAATAGAGGTTAAATAGAAAACAAGAATATTTAGTTATTTTGAAATTTGATTTTATTTGTAGTTAGTAAGTAATTTTTTTTATATACAATTAAAACACAACAATAATATAATTTATAATAAAATTAAAGAGTAAAATCATATATATATATATATTTTATATTAATCTAAGATGATTTGATACTTCATTCTCATAAAACAAAATTGACGTAATATATACATTTCAAAATATACTAAAATATGAATACTTTGATTACCTTCAAGTTGTTATTCAATTTTAACAAAATTTGACATATATGATCTAAGAGATATGAACTTTCAATTTAACGATTGGATTTTCAAAATTCACATTTAATATAAAGTTATTAAGCGTTGTAACACTTAGTAAAAGTTACATCGGTATCGTTTGAACCCTCTTTATATATATATATAAGGAGAATGCTAATGTACTCCCACCTATTTTTTAGTGGGAGTATGTTAGCAACCTACACCAAAATTTTAGGACAAAAAAACCACTCATTTCTTTTGATTTGGTTTATTTGTATAAAGGATATTATAGTAATTTAATTTAATTTTAAATGAAAGTAAAATATTTTCTCTCTCTTATTAACTTCACTCTAAGTCATTTATCTCTCCTATTAAATTCCTTCTCCTATTCATTTCTCTTTCCTATTAAATTCTTTCTCTAACATATTTATCTCTCTCCTATTAAATTCTTTCTTTAACTCATTTCTCTCTCATCTCTCATGATGTCTCTTCCATTTTTTTCTGAACAAATAAAAATTAATTAATTAGAAAAAATAAATGAATTGGAGAATGAAGTTAATAAGAGAGAAAAAATATTATTTTCATTTAAAATTAAATTAAATTACTATAATATCCTTTATATAAATTAATCAAATTAAAATAAATGAGTAATTTTTTTGTCCTAAAATTTTGGTGTAAGTTGCTAACATACTTTCACTAAAAAATAGGTGGGAGTACATTAGCATTCCCCTATATTTAAATGAAAATGGGGTTTAACGATTACAAAAGTTATGAACTTATGATTATTACCCGACGATTACATAAATAAATAGCCCATTCAGCTTTCTCATGTCTCTCCCAATTGGCCTCGTCTTCTTTCCTTTTCATTTGGATGGTTCTGTAAGCTTCATTCAGTTTATCTTTGAGGATCTCAATATTTTCTGCAGCACTCTGAGATGGTATCCAATTTGGACAATATGTTAATAATAAGTCTACTATTGGACATAATAATAATAATAAAAATAAAAAGGAAGAATGCTGATAAACAATAATTAGTAAAGGACATATATTTAAGCCAGATCGGATGAATTTTCACCAAGTACCTCTTAGAAAATACAAATAAATTATCATTATATTAAGAACTTTTTTTTCTTCAAGGAAATGATTTAGTTACCTTTCTATCCAAATTGTTAAGTTCTTTGACATATGGCTCAATTGGGCTAGTGTGAGAAACATGGTCGTCTTGCCCTTCCTCCAAATTCAAAGATAGTAACTCTTGTAAATAATTTTCAATTTCTTGGAAACTAATTTCCCATTGATTCTGGTTAAGATAGGACTCCAATTCCAAATTTGATGAGGAAGTTGTTTGTACGCAAGAACTTCTATGTTGGGAGTCAATTGTTTTATTATCAAATAACATTCTCTCTAGCCAATCTTTAAAATTTAACTTATCCCTCATGCTAGCTATTTTGACCCCATTATCATCCTCCAAGATTATCCCATCATTCTTCACTCGTGGCATAACTTGTTTCCCTCCACAAATAATGAACAACTCACAGGACGCAGGCTTGAGATGATGAACGTAGAAAAATCCATTAATGTCAACTTCCGATTTCCTAATGGAACAAGTTGTAAAAGTAATTGAGTTATATTGCATTATGCATGCATGCATGAACTTTCTGTACTCAGGAAGAAAAAAGCAAGGAAAAGAAAAAGTACAAGGAAGGCTTCATGAATGAAAATCCCATGACCAATTTCGTTATTCCTAGACCATGGATCAAGTCTACGGTGCGCTTTTGCATTGGTTCATCAAATTTCTCAACTTCAAATGTTTCAGCTGGCACCTGAAATATAGATTACATAGTGTTTTAAAACCCGGACCGACCCGGCCGGTCGGACCGGGAACCGGTGGGCCAGCCGGTCCGAATCTGAAGTTGGATCTGTTACGCAGTCGACCCGTTTCAAACCGGATTGAACCGGTCAATTTTTCGGTTCAACCGGTGAACCGGTGGGTCAAACCGGTTCAACCACTTTTTTAAAAAAAAATTTTAAAATTTTTTTAAGGGACCATAAATCACAAAAATAATAATGAAAATTGAATCTCTTAATGAAAAAGCAATGAGTCTTATTAAATATAACAATGACTACTTGTTCTAATATATTTGTTTGCAATATATACAACTTAAATAACTTTTATAGTATATTATTAATTTTAAATTATATATTTAATAATGCAATATCTATGTAAATATTACATATATTATTTTGTGATATTAATTGCAAGCATATTATATATGTACATATTGTTTATATTTTTAATTTGTATTAATATACTGTTTAACATGTAATTTTTTTATGTATTTTTTTACAAAATAAAAATAAAAATAATTTTAAATAATATAGAAAAATTAAAATTTAAAATAAGATATGAATTTATTAAAATTTATAAGTATAAAATATATTTAATATGAATATTTTTTAATAAAAATAAATAAAAATCGAGTCATGCGGTTCAACCAGTGACCCACCGGTTCAACCTTTGACCCACTGACCCAGTATCTTAACCGGTTCGATGACCGGTCCGGTTTTTAAAACTATGCGATGAATCTACTGAAAAGAAAAAAGTCATATATTCAAAAGAATGTTTACTTAATTAGTAGGCTTAGTTTTTAACATATTATTTGCACAAACATATATATAAGTTGGAGTCTTTATAATTACACACTTCATTCTCTTACAACTCAATATCATTCCAATTTTCTTTCTATCAACTAATTATAAAAACTATTGTTAGTATAATTTAATATATTTATTATAAGTTAATAAATTTCTATATACTATGGTTTATGATTTCACGGAAGTATATAATAAATTTTTATAATACATATATTATTTATCCTATTATCTACGGGCAAGCCAATTGACTGTTTTTTTTTTTTCATGATTACATGGGAGTTTTATTTCATTTTTCGATCGGAGGAAATTAGCAAGCTTAATTAGTTTATTTGATTTCAGACAATCTCTTCAACAGAAATACGTTAGTAAAGTACTAAAATAAATTTCCTCACATTGTCACATAAAGCTATATACTTGGAAAGAAGCTTCTCAATTATCCTTTGTTCATATTTTCTGACACGTTCCAGCTTCTTTTCACATGCGCCTCTTGCAGGGAGTCTGCCAACTGCAACAAATTAAATCCCATAACTAATTAGTGAAACAAAATTGAACTTAAATGGTAACGAAGAAGAAAATTGAGAAACAAATGTAGGAAAAATACGCAGTGTGGCAACATATTTCATGGTAGTGTTGTATTTCACATGTAGAATGACTATAGAACATGGATGGGAATTCCATTTGTTTATAGCCCATCTCAAAGTTTGAAATCCATCTATGATATCATAGCCAACAGCAACGTAAATTTTTTCTGTTTGAGTTGCATCCATTTTATTGAACCAAGCTGCATCAAGAAGAAACTGTGACATACACTCGTGACAAACTCAAACTTGGATTTGAAGGGTTTGAGTTTGAGGTACCTGTTAGGCAATTCTTGATTGTGTTGTGGATTTATTAGTGTGAAAATCTCTTTTGTGAGGGAAAAAGTTGGTATGTGGTCGCTGTCAAAGATTTTGTCAGCGATTTTTACTAGTTTGCTTTGAATATTATTTTGTCATTGCTAGGTAATATTCTTTGGTATCAATTGCAATGTAATTTTATTTTATTTTGAAATTTATTTTATTATATCAGATCTTCCAAGAGAAAGGCATTCGATATTTTTGTATCGCTTTTCACGCTTCGCAAACTAAGCTAGGTAATATTCTTCGGTATCAGTTGCATTTCGATGGTAATTTTCCCGGCTCTTGTACAACTGTAGAGGTCTCCCTTCATCAATTTTTTTAATGCTCAGAACATTTTCAATGGGGTTGATTATAAGTAACTTTTCGGTGCCACATCATACCACATCAAATTTATGGATTGTTTAAATTTTAGCAAAATTACTTGTACAAGCAACTTTACTAAAATTTAAACAACCCATAAATCTGATGTGGCATGATGTGGTACTGGGAGTTGCTTATAAGCAAATCCCACTAGAGATGCTCTTAAAATGACAGATTAGGGATGATATCTATGAGTGTGGGATAGAAAATTAATAACACATTAGGGTCAAATCAAACATTATTATTTATTTAGTGGTTAGTTGAAGTTTAAGACTTTACTTGCCAAAAAGTCAATAGAGACTTGTCATGAGTATCAATAGAATTTTTTTTATAAATATATCTGTCAAAATAAGATTTTATATAGTATTTAATTAAAATAAGTATTAGTGTTGTATTCTATTATTATTAAAATTAATAATGTTGTGTTTGGTAGAGAATAAAAAAAATTACAAAAATAATAAAATAAAATAGAAATAATTTTTTAAAATTAGTTAATTTAGATTAAAATAAGAAAAAAATATTATTAGACTTAAATCCATTTTTTGTCCATAATTTTGTAAATCTGCAATTTTGATCTTTTAAAAAAAAATTATTATCATGAACTTAGTCTCTTTAGTTTTTAAAATTAAGTAACATTAATCTATCATTAACATGTCATCCAGACATACAAAAAAAAAATGTTAACATATCTATGTGAAGCATTATCTGATAGTTACATACTTAGTCATACTAGCTTCCGCATAAGGTACAATATTGCTTTTTACTACAAATATATTATAGTTCTCTTTTTGATTTCAATTAAAATTTATTATTTATTAAAATATTTTTTAATTCTTAATACTAATATTTTAGGTGGCTAACTATCTAAATGTAGTATCACCACTACAAGAAATGTTACATATAGTGACATATAAAAAGTGTCACTATAGGTATAATATATGTAAGTATATATTTATTTGATATATAGTTACACACAACTTTAGTGTTGATTTTGAATGAGATTTAACAATATATTTTGTTATCATTATAGTTTATACACACCTTTTAATAATATACCAATATATATTGTATTTATTGTGTGGGTAAAAGTAATTTTTAGTGGTATGTATAGTGTCATTATAGGATGTGTGTCATTATATGACAATTTTGTTGTAGTGCAGTCACAAGCATTAGTCCATATTTTCTATTTAATTTTGAATTACATATTAACGGTGAACCAACATTACTTAATTTTGAAAATTAACTAAATCAAATATGCAATAGAAAATTTTGGAGAACCAAAATTACACATTTGAGAAAAGGTGAAAAGTGAATTTAAGTCTTAGTGTTATTATATAAAGACGCGAGGAAAGGGATGCTTATGGATTTTGAGAGGATAGGTTTGTTTCACTATAGGTAGAGCTGTCGAAACGGGCTACTCGGTCCGGCTCATCACGAGTTGACCATTTGGTGGGCTAACCCAGCCTGACTCATTTATCAGTGAACTCAAAAAAATTGAACTCGACCCGGCTCACCACGGGTTGGTCGGTTAAACAGGTTGGCTCACCTTAAAAAAAAAATTATTTTTTTTCTTCTTAATATACAACTGAAACCCAAAAGTTTAAACCTATTTTAAAAATATGAGATTCTTAATTAAGACATCCATAAATGAATCATTCATCTCAAACATTAAATGATAATTTTAAATACAATCAAATCAAATCTAAATAATCTCAAATAGATAAATATAATCCAAAATCATCTTAAACTTCAAATATAATCCAAAATTATCTTAAACTTCAAATACAATCCAAAATCATAGAAATTACAAATCATAATCCAACATTAAATCGTTATTGTCTTATATTGGGCTGCACTATGACCCAATAATTTTTGTATTTTTTTTAAAAAAAATTAATCACGGGTTGGTGGGCCAACCTGGCTCACTAGGAGTTCAACCTAGGTGAGCCGGGTTGTTAGTGAGTCGGGTTCAAATTTGACCCGAATTGAAATTTTCAAATTTTTTCAACCCAACTCGGCTCGAACTCGTGGTGGGTCGGGTTGGCTCACCAGGCCAAGCCCATTTTGATAGCTCTAACTATATAGGTGAACCGTATTTTAGAGTTGACCAAAGTCAATGCTATCCCAAACTATAGGGTCAATATTTTTCCAACCACTAATGATGACATGTTAGTTTTACAAATCAACATTAGATAAAGTCAATTTGATTAACACTAGATAGAGTTGACATAACCGGCACCGGCACACAAGACTTTATAATGTTATCTATACCTATCATAAAAGGAAAATATTTGGTAACTACTTTTTGGTTTTCACTTTTCAATTGAATACTATTATCCTTAAATTCATACTATACAATTGTAAAATGGATAAATTTTTGTAACCACCTTTTTAGCTTTCACTTTTTTATGGGACATTATTATCCCTAGATTTATGGATTATCTTCTTTCAAAATCTCCTAAAAAATAAATATATAGAGGTCTGAATGTCTTTTTTCCTTGCTAGTATTGAATCGAAGGAATGAGTAGTGTAAAAATTAAAATATCAATTAATATATAAAATGTACATGTTCATGAAAAACTTTTTGACATTGAGATGAATAAATTGTCACTACAAGAATTTTGCAGATTAGCGAGGGAATTTAGCGAGGGATATAATTCCTCTCTAATCCCTCGCTAATTAGCGAGCAAATAGCTTGGATTTATATCCCTAGCTAAATTTCCTCGCTATTTGCGACCAACCTTTGTCTCCTCGCAAATCCTTCGCTAAAGTTAGTGCTTCTTTAGCGAGAAACTTAGTCCCTCGCAAATGCCTTGCAAATCCCTCTCCAAATTATGAGCCAAAATAAAAAAATAAATTTTTCATCTTGCGAGGGAGTTTTCTTGTCGCAAATTCCTCGCTAATGAATTATAAGTATAGCCCTCGCAAATCCTTCGCAAATTAGGGAGGGAAATTTTTTTTTTCGCTAATCCCTCGCAAACACTACAAGAATTTTGCGGATTAGCGAGGGAATTTAGCGAGGAAATAGCTTGGATTTATATCCCTCGCTAAATTTCCTCGCTAAATAGGAACATTTTGCGACCAACCTTTATCTCCTCGCAAATCCTTCGCTAAAGTTAGTGCTTATTTAGCAAGGAACTGAAGCCCTCGCAAATGCCTAGCAAATCCCTCTCCAAATTATGACCCAAAATAAAAAAAGGGAAAATAGGCAAGATCAAAAAGGGAAAATAGGCAAAAAAAAATGATTAGAAAAGGTTAATTTTTTTTTTAAATTATTTTCAATAAATATGGATGTGCATTCCAATTGGATGGCTGAAAGTGGAAAAAAGAAAAGAAAGACACGAACCGGTGAGTTGATAACTGAGGCATTTTATATATTTATTTATTTATTTATTTTGGTGGGTAAAGGAAATGATAAAACGGAAAAGAAGAAAAGAAAAAATGTAAAACGGAAGAGAAAGTGGCATGGATACAGACAGAAGCCCCGACCCAAGTGCCTTCATTCCTTCTCTCTCTCTCTGCCGCGGAGGTTAGGGTTTGATTTATCCTTCTTTTTCTCTGCTTCCAAATTTCTCGCTTCGTTTCGCACTTTGACTTCCTTTGACTTTTTCACCATGTATGGCAACATTATCTAATGCTAGCTAGCTCCATATGCATTAGCAACATATAAACACCACTCTGCTCAACACTGTAGACACAAATAAAATGAAGATGAGAGGAGTGAAAATTATTCAATTCTTACTGAATAATCATTAATTCTTTTGTTCGGTATGAATTAGCCCCCACTGAAATTACTCAATTTTATCCTTTCTCCAAGTGACAAAGAAATATCCCCTTGTGCATCTCATGATTTTATCTATGCACTAATAGATGATGTGAAAATCATATTAAAATCTCCCATTATTTTGTCTTCATTTTCAAATTTACTTTCCAAAATTTCCTTCTCAAATTGTTTTCTTAAAAGGGGGTAGGAGAGTTTATTCCTAGACCCGCCACATAATTAGGCTTTGTGATTCTAATTACAGGTATGTTGTTAGGTGGCCATCATTGCAGTCTGTAGTGATCCATCGACACATAATCACAGGTTTGGTATCCCTACCTTTATTTTTACTTTAATTTGACTGTGGGTGCCCATTTCAACCACAAACTTTACATTGTACAACACCGTTGCTATCATTATTCTAAATCTTAATGATTATTATATACACCAAAAGCTTCCTTCTTTTCTTATCTCATGCTTATATTCTTTACACGTTCTTGGTTCTTTTAGCCTATAACCTATAATAAAGTATAAATAGAAAAAATCATTTATAGTAGAAAGAAGCAGGGCTTTGCAGGAAATCGTTCCAAGTGTCAACAAGGTATTTGACTTCTTGGACATGCCATTTTATTAATATATGTAGTTTGACACTTATCTGTAGAGCTTGTGAAATTTTGTCTATGAATAAGTAAGGGATTTTGTTTCATGTTTAACTTGACTCTATAAATGATTAAATATGCACTTCATGTTTAATTTTGTTTCTTTGTTCAATGATTTGTCTTGGTAGATTTCGGTAATTTTATGGAATCTTATAGATATTTTCATTACGAACTTGGTACGTAACCATCTACAGTTCTAAACTCTTACAAAATACTGTTGTTGCATGTAAATTTTTTTTAAAATATAATGCTTAAATGAAATTCCAAATGAATTAATGAATTGCATTGAATATTTTCCATGTCTCACATGATTTCTGTATAATAGTTCATATTTCTTTGTCTCTAACGCTACCCTATACAACACAATTTATATCTATGAAGAAGCCAATTTAGCTTCTTGTTATGTCATTGTGTTCTTTCTCGAAAGCATGATTATTTTAATGTATTAAAGCAACTATAGGGATCATGAGACCCGATCGAAGTTGGATGTTGCGAAGATTTGATTGCTTCGACATTGTAAATGAAGAATTCAGACAAGGGGTTGATGGTTTCATTCAAGTTGCTACAAGAGACTCGAAAATTGCCGATGTATCAGGGCGCATTCCTTGTCCATGCGCAAAATGTAGGAATTGATATTGGGATACTACATTTAATGTGGAAAAACATTTGTATCACCATGGATTTGTCAATGGTTATATGAATTGGACCCTTCACGGTGAGGAGACATGGAGGGATTGTGCATCAACATCTGTTGTCCATGATTGTGTTAATCAGAACAAAAATCCCTATGTGGATATGGTTATGGATGCTGCTAATGGTACATTAAATCCTGAAGTAGAAGATGTAGAAGAGGATCCAAATCCTTCAGCTGCAAAGTTTTTTAATTTGTTAAGGGATGCGGATGAACCTTTATGGAATGGTTGCAAGAAGCATACAAAATTGTCAGCTGTAACACAAATTCTAAACTTGAAGTCAGAGTTTAACATGAGTGTGAGTTGTTATGATCGAATGATTTCCATAATCAAGAGTATGCTTCCAGAATCAGAAAGGTTGCCTGAAAATTTATACAAGTAAAAAAGAATGGTTCATGAGATGGGATTAGGATACGAGAAGATACATGCATGTCGTAATCATTGCATGTTGTATTACAAAGAAAATAGTGATAAAAATGTTTGTCTGGTGTGTAAAGAACCACGGTTTAAACCTAAGGTATCTACAAAAAACAAGGATGTGCCTTACTCAATGTTGAGATATTTCCCTATTATTCCAAGACTACAACGCCTCTTTATGTCTAAAAATACATCAAAATATATGCGTTGGCATATAGATGGAGTGCGTCAAGATGAATCAATTATGACACATCCTGCTGATGCAGAGGCATGGAAGAATTTTAATCATACACACCCTACATTTGCTCAAGATCCACGAAATGTTAGGCTTGGACTTTGCACAGATGGTTTTAATCCATTCAATAATTCAGGTAACCCATACTCATGTTGGCCTGTTTTTGTGACACCTTACAATCTTCCCCCTAGTATGTGCATGAAAAGAGAATACATATTTCTTACTCTTGTGATTCCTGGACCAAAGTCACCTGGTAAAAGTTTAGATGTCTATCTTCGTCCTTTAATTGACGAGTTAAAAATTTTATGGGACACTAGGGTTAACACCTTTGATGCATGTAAAAAGAAAAATTTCATTATGAAAGTGGCATTGATGTGGACAATAAGTGATTTTCCTGCTTATGGAATGTTGTCTGGATGGAGCACTCATGGGAAATTTGCTTGTCCCTATTGTATGGGGAACAGTAAATCATTTAGGTTGAAGAATGGTGGTAAACCTTGTTGGTTTGATTGCCATCGTCGATTTTTGCCTGTTGATCATCCATTTCGTCGTGACCGATACTCTTTCAAGAAGTCAGTAGTGGAAAACTCTTTGCCACCACAACAATTGAATGGCACATATGTCTTAAACAAAGTGAATCAACTTCAAAAAATTACTTTTGGCTTGAAATCAAACAAAGAAAAACAACCTAACTTTGGTAAAACCCATAATTGGGTTAAAAAAAGCATATTTTGGGAATTGCCTTATTGGTCCAGTAATCTAATTAGACATAACTTGGTTGTTATTCATGTTGAAAAGAATGTTTTTGATAACATCTTCAACACCGTTATGGACATAAAGGGCAAGACGAAAGACACTGCTAATGCAAGAGAAAATCTAAGGTTGATATGTAAACATCCTAGGTTAGAGCTAGTGGACGAGAATGGGAAGTATAGAAAGCCAAAGGCAACATATGTCTTGAGTTTTGATCAAAGAAAAATGGTGTGTGAGTGGATAAAACAACTAAAGTTTCCAAATGGGTATGCATCTAGCATATCACGTTGCTCGTAATGATGGTGGTGGTGAAGATAAAATTGATGATAAGTTGTCTATTTTTAAATTCCCATGTCGTCCTATTGGCAAAGGTCATAGTAGATTATTAACAGAGGAAGAACTTCATATTGTTGAGACATATGTCATTGTAAATTGCAAAAAAGTAGAACCCTATCTTCAGTAAGTTTCCTTCATAATTTTTCAAATTGTGCAATTTTTTTTTACATTAGTTGCAATATTAATTATTGCTTTTATTAGGCAATTCGAGGATTCAATAAGGGAAACAAATCCTAATATCTCTGAGGATGAAATATTAGTAGCTCGAGATAGAGATTTCAGTAGGTGGCTAAAACATCAAGTGAGTTATTTCCCCCATAATTGTCTGTAATGTATAATTTAATATGCATTATAGTAAATAATATAATTATGTGTGTTTTTGTATTTGTAATCATTTATAGGTGAGTACAGGGCAAGTTGATGATCGAATGATTCAAGAGATTAGTTATGGTCCGGTAAAGATTGTCACTTCTTATAATGGACTAATAGTCAATGGATATAGATTCCACACTAAAAGCTATGGAGCTAATAAATCCACTATGAATAGTGGGATATGTGTTCGAGGCAATATGTATGGTGATAATGATTTGGATTATTATGGCATTGTTGAAGAGATAATAGAATTGTCATATCTTGGATATCAAAACAAAGTGATTATTCTACGTTGTCACTGGTTTGACCCTTTTCATGGTGTTAAAGTAGATGAAATGTATGGACTGGTTGATATCAAACACAAATCAAAGCTTCAGTCAAATGATCCATTTGTATTAGCTGAACAGGCACAACAAGTGTACTATACGAGATACCCACAAAGTAGGGGTAGGAATAATGGTGATTGGTGGGCAGCTTGTAAGGTTAGAGCAAAATTATTTATGGCTGAGTCATTGAATAACGAAGATTATTTGTCAAATGAACAAACTACTAATGATTATTTTCAAGATGATGGTTCAATGGGAATGCACAATATTCTTATTGATAATGAGGAGATACAATTGTTTGATGCAAATGCCCCAATGGAAGAAGTAAACATAAATGATATAAATTATCCAATGGATAATGTGCAACATGATCAATTCATCAATGACGATGAAGATGATGAGGATGATGAACTCACGGATAATGACATGGTGTTAGATGATTCAGACAATTCAAGAGATGATTTTGTTGATTCAGACGACGAGTGGTTATGAATAAATTGTTTTAATTTTTTTAATGGTATTTATTTGACTATGAAATTTCTCTTATACTTTACATTATTTTGTTCATTTTTTTTAATATTATTAGCACATGATTTCCTAATTCGTTATATTTATATTAGTAGGAACTCAAGATGCCTCCACGAGGAAGAGGACGAGGTCGAGGTAGTCACACCATCACTCTACGTCAACCTACTCAATCGTTCAATGATCCTCCAGAACTAGATCCTTTTTCTCATTCACCAGGTATATTATGTATAATTGTTAAATGACTTTAATTATTACCTTTTTATTTATTTGAATGTAATGTGCACCAATTTATTTCCATTGTGCTTGTCTTAGGTGCTATTTTCACTGATGGACCATCAACTGATGGTGGTCAATCAGCTGGTGGTGGTCTGTCTGCAACCACCACCACCCCAGTGACTGATGGTGGCCAATCATATGTTGCCCCAACATCTGATAACCCACCCATTATAGAAGAGCCTTGAAGTGTAGATTCTCACAATGAAGTAGATAGGAGACTTCTTATATCTGTGGAACAAGTTAATAACCCGTAAGTAAAGCTAAACTCAATCAATGATTAAAATTAATATTACTAATTCATAATTTACAACATGAGTATTTAAAATGGCAGAAGGAGGTTTGTTCCAGATTCTGTTACTCGAGATATTACATCGGAGCTATTCATGAGGATGCCTAATGCAGCAGCAAATTGGAAAAATTATTCTGCTGATATGAAAGAAATATTGTTCAATGATTTTATGGTAAGAAGTTATCATGTTAATATTATATATTATATTACATGTGTGTATGTATATGTGTATATATATGTATATATCAATTAATTTACTTAATTCACATTGTTGTAGAACAAGCATCGTTTTGCATCAGATTACGATCGCAGTATGGCAAGGAAGGTTTGGGATTTGACATGCATGGATCGATATCCTGACTATCTATCTAAGGCAAGGACAAAGGCAAAACAAAGGGAAAATTCAGATAATATTGAAGACTTAAAGGGTCATGGGCCAAGAGGTATAAGGACTGAGATGTGGGACGGATTAGTAGATATATGGGCAACACAAGAGTGGAAAAGGAAATCTATTGCGGGTAAAAATAATAGGGCTTCCAAACCTGATGCTATGGTGCACACTGGAGGGTCAAGAAGCTTTGGACGACACTTAAGAAAAATGGTATTCATAGTCAATACTTTTTCTATTAATATTGACAATTCATTTTTATGTTAAGCTCTGTCATAATATGTTACAATTGTATGATAAATGGCTTTTGGTTCTTTGTAATATGCTTGGCTAATTATACTTGATAAAAATTTCTTTTGTATCATAAATATTATAACTTTATACTATTATGTTTTTATTGATTGTGGTTTATTAATTAAATGTGTTTATGTATTTATCTTAAATTGCATATTATTTCACAGGAAGCAGAGCATAAACGTCCTATTTCTTATGGTGAATTGTACAACAAAGTTCATAAAAGAAAAGATGGTGAATATGTCTCTAACAAAGCCAAAAATTTCATTGTAAGAGTGTGTATATATTTTTAATGTAAAAATTAAACATTGTTTATCTATTACTATATATACCTTGATACATTTTTTTTTGTAGGAATCATATGAAAATGCTATGGCTGAAAAGTATGGGGAAGACGCATCAAAGCATCCTATAGTTGACACTGATGTTTGGACACAAATTTCTGGTGAAAATAAGAAAGGTAGAATCCACGGCATGGGTCATAGCTTAGATCTTAGCATTACTATGCATGGTTCATCTTCAACTGTTGTAGGTCCCTCTACCACACCTGTTAGAGAAGACATCACTACATTAGCTACACAAATGTCTCAAATGCAAGAACAGATGCAGTCACAATTGAATCTACAAACACAATCCCAAATGCAATTGCAGACACAACTACAAGCACAGATGGAGGCACAAGCACAATATATGCAGGCACAATTGAAGGCACAAGCTGATATGCAAGCACAAATGCAGGCACAAATGAAGGCACAAGCAGAAATGCAAGCACTTTTGCAACAACAAATGCAGGAACAAATGCAGGCACAAATGCAGTTTTTGAGGAAAGAGATATTACCTGCCTTAAAGATGCCATCACCATCATCAGTCAAAAAACTTGGGAAGAATCAAGAATGAAAATGTTGAATTCTAGTTTTTTTTTATATTTACATTAGCATTGTTAACTCACTTGAAGAGTTTTATTATATTAGTTGCTATTGAGTATTTTTATTATGTTAGTTGGTATTGAATATTTTTATTATGTTGGTAATTCAGAATTGTTTTAGTTAGCCTTTAGTATTTTTATTTTATTTGATGCAAGTTGATGACACAATAATATATTTGATATGCAAAATACAGGTACTACAATCTTGATATCAAAACAAAACAATTATGATAGTTATAGTATGAAAAATGCAGGTAAAGATGAATATATAAATATTAAAAATAAAATTGCGACAAAGTAGTGAGAGATTAGCGATGATAACCAAAACATAACAGTAAGGGATATGCTAGAAAATAGCGAGGCATATCATGTGAAAGACAAAATAGCGAGGGAAAAAAGAGCAAATAGCTAGGAAAATATAGCGAAGGAATAGCGAGACAATTGCTAGGGAAATATTGCGAGGGAATAGCGAGATAATTGCTAGGGAAGTATTGCGAGGGAATAGCGAGACAATTGCTAGGAAAGTATTGCGAGGGAATAGCAAGACAATTGCTAGGAAAATATTGCGAGGGAATAGCGAGACAATAGCTAGGAAAATATTGCGAGGGAATAGCGAGACAATTGCTAGGGAAATATTGTTAGGGAATAGGGAAGGGTCTGCGAGGGATATTCAGCGAGGGAATTGCAAGGCCTTAGCTAAGAAATGTAGCAACGGAATAGAGAGGGGTTTGTGAGGGAACATTAGCGAGGGATTAGCTACAAATTAGAGAGGGATATTTTGTTACCCCTTAGCGAGGCAATAGCGGGGAAGCTTGACCGCAAATTAGCGAGCGAATAGTAAGCATCCTTAATATAATTAGCGAGGACCTTAGCGAGGGATTGGCGACGGATTTTGCTACAGATCAGTGAGGGATTTAATCCCTCGCTAATTAGCTACCTGTATTTAGCTAGGGAATGGTCTCTTGCAATTTCATCACTATTCCGTCGCAAATCTGATTAACGAGGGATCAGAGACAAAATAGCGAGAGAATAGTCCCTCGCTAATATGTAATTTTCTTGTAGTGTGTTTTAACTTTTTTATTCCTTTCAAATATATTTTTTACTTTAATACCAAATTTAATTTAATAACTAATCTAAAAATCATTTATCGACCATCTCAAATCAATCAAATTTTATTTTTATTTGCATTCTTCATTTTCTTAATTGGTGAAGTATCACGGTTGCCTCCCTTACAATGTGAAGTGGTATTTCCTTCCGATTTTGCCGATCAGGAGGATAGTGGGGACGAAGTGATAGAAGTATCACCCCCGTTGACATTGGCCGTGGCCTTAGCACGAGCCACGGAGGTGGATGATAGGGGTTTCGGACGGGTCAACGAACAAAGTGTTCCGGCCAGGGTGACTCATGCCGAGGCGATCGAAGATGCTCTGGTAGTGGTTGGTGATGGTCGGGGCAAAGCCGTGGCCGTTCCGAGGACTCAGCCAAAGGTGAAGATTGATTACGGCACGGTGGAGATGGCCGGGTATGAATGGGTGGACGGAGAGGTCGGTGTGTACTTTTCAAAGTTGTCCGACCAAGAGTTGTTGGATACTTTCGTGTCTTTAGAGAAATGTTTTGGGAGTGGGGAGGACGAGTTCTCGTTGCTTGCCGAGGCGTGCGAGGACGATGGGCCGAACACCGATTTCGTGTTCTTGGAGCGGGGGTCCGATGAGGACGACTATTTCTACGCCTATATGTGTTGGTTTGAGGATCTTAGCGTGACATTGCCCTTCGATGATTTCCAGATGGGGGTCCTCCGTGCTTTGAACGTGGCGCCGACCCAGCTACACCCTAATGCTTGGGCAGCTATGCAAGCGTTCCGTAATCTGTGCTTATGCCTCGGTCTAACACCTCGACCCCTTGCCTTCCTCTATTATTACATTTGCCGGCCGAGCAAGCCGGTGAAATGGGTGTCGTTAGCTCGAGTGCCGAAGCGTGGATTTCTCCGAGCATTCACCTCCTCTTATAAGGGGTTTAAGAGTGGGTTCTTTAAGGTTCGTTGGGGTTCGGATCTGAGAAATTGCTTCTTCGACCGGGAGGACAATCCGTTATTCCCCTTCTATTGGATGAGGCAGCCGACGCGCTTCGAAGCTATACCTTTTTCCAAGCTCCCCGCCGAGGATAAAGAAATTGTGGAGCTTCTTAATAATTTGCCGAAGGGCCTACCTGTCCGAGGCCTTTTGGACGTATTCGAGACGTCTCACTTCGAGATCACCTTGCTAGGTATGTGTTTTAGGCTTCGGTAGTGTAGCAGTGTTTTGAATTGATGTTAAAACTTCTTTCGTTGCAGGACTGATGGCCGGAGGGGACCTCGACGTGACCGCCATGCTCGCCAAGAGAGCCAAGGATGCTAAGGCCAGTGGGAAGGTGCCACCGGCGAAGTCGGGACTAAGGATTGCGAGGGATAAGCCCTCGCCTATAATAATTCCCTTGGCCGACCAGAGAAAGAGGACCGGGACCTCTCGGCCACGTCAGACCGACCCGAACGTGGAAACCGATCAGCCGGGCACCTCCTCCAAAGCGATTATCGTGATCTCATGCCAAGATAAATGTAGGCCGAGACCTCTGACATCACGCGAGGGAGATGTAGGCGGAGGTTTAGGGATGGGGATATGTCGAGGACTTCGATGGGCGAAGCCTAAGCCGAGGTTCCAAGCTATTAGAGTTTGCACCGAGGCCTCGACAGATGTGGCCTGCCAGGCTAGCCCTAACGGTTACGGGTCCAACAGTTACTAAATCTGGACCGTTGGATGACCTAAATCGAACAGCTGGGGTGTCGGGACGTCTTTTCACCTCCCCCATTTACCTTGCCTATAAATAGGAGGGGGGCTGCTGGTGAATTTACATGCTGTAAATTTGCCGAACGCTCTCGACTTCATAAGTAATCGAGCAAACCGATCAAAGGTAAATTTTGTATTCTTTATTCTGCTTAATAAATGGATAAGGACTATTCCTCGGGTAGAACTTGCATATCTTCGGAGGCGTCGGGCCGTTCGTCTGATCGAGAGGAATCGGGTTCAAGTGAAGTATCACGGTTGCCTCCCTTACAATGTGAAGTGGTATTTCCTTCCGATTTTGCCGATCAGGAGGATAGTGGGGACGAAGTGATAGAAGTATCACCCCCGTTGACATCAGTATTGTGCGGACTACCGCCGTGTAAATCTGGTTTACTGTTGCATCTGCACATTCCCTATTCCCCTCTTTCCTAGATCCACTTTAGGGACATCTGGAGCCAGCTTTCCCAACCTCAAACTCAAAATAAACAACTCCAAATCTACCAATGCAACATGATTCATCAGCCTCATGAATGTACTAGGTGCATTAGTAAGCCCAAATGGCATTACTAACCATTCATATAATCCAAACTTAGTCTTAAAAGCAGTTTTCCACTCATCACCTTCTTTAATCCGAAATTGGTGATATCCACTTTTAAGATCTATTTTGGAAAATATGGATGACCCATGCAACTTATCAAGCATGTCATCAAGCCTAGGAATTGGGTGCCTATATTTAATGTTGATGTTGTTGATAGCTCTACAGTCACAACACATCCTCCATTTTCCATCTTTCTTAGGCACCAATAAAACAGGCACAGCACAAGGGCTTAGACTCTTTTGAATCCAACCCTTATCCAATAAATCTTGTACTTGTTTCTCTATCTCTTTTGTTTCTTGAGGATTTATCCTATAAGCTGGTCTATTAGTTAGACTAGCTTCAGGCACAAAATCTATTTGATGCTCTATTCCCCTAAAAGGTGAAAGTCCCATAGGGCCTTCACTAGGAAATACATCATCAAATTCAATCAAAAGATTTTGAATCTCAAGAGGTAGAGAAAGTTTCAAAGATTTTGTGGCAGTGCATGTGAGTGTTCCTCTACACATGAGGATATAAAAAGATGGTTCAAGTAAGAGAGATGTTTTTTGTAAAGTTTTTGTTTCAAGTTTCTCTTCTTGAACTATCTCTAGAGAGGGAACACTAGTCTCTCTAGAATCCTCTTGGTTCGTAATTTTTAGAGGTTTTTTTTTACTTTCCTTTTTTTTATTTTCCTCTCCTTTTTCTTGATCACGTTTGGTCTTCATTTGTACTTGATCCTCTACTACTTGTGAAGGTGTTAGAGGATGAAGCACAAATTTCTTACCCTTATGAGTGAAAGTTCTTTTGTTAGATAAGCCATCATGATGTGTTTGTTTATCAAATTGTCATGGCCTTCCCAACAAAATATGACAAGCTTCCATGGGAACTACATCACATTTAACTTTATCTTGATAGTTCCCAATGGAAAACTCTACTTCCACTTGTTGGTTAACCACCATATCCCCATCATCATTGAGCTAATGAAGTTGATAAGGTTTTGGATGGGGTGTGGTAGTTAATCCCAACTTTTCAACCATCCTAGTGCTACAACAATTGCACCAAGATCCACTATCCACAATTATAGAACAAGCTTTATTTGAAATATTACACCTTGTGTGAAAAATTTTCTCTCTTTGGGATTGTGTATCATTAGGTTGGTTATTGAGGACCCTTTTCATCATAAGAAGTTCCCCATTGTAAGGGTAAGTGACCTCACATAATTCTTCCTCACTTGCTTCTTCTTCATCTTCACTTGAAGATGAGGAAGTAGTAGCTTCATCTTGGCTACTATAAATGTCTTGGCCCCTTAATATCATGACTTTCTTGTTAGGGCATTGAGAAGCAATGTGGCCTCTCATTTGGATGTAATTTGGTACTCATTTAAGCATCATTTCGGTCACACCATGTGCAAGTGTGCACATGGCCGAAATGCATACTAAATGGCATACTAATTACATGCAAATGAACATGCACATGCTAACCTAGATTAACCCTAAATTCACATGGCAATGAAATGAAAATTCCTAATCTAGGTGGCCGAAATACAAGGCCCAAAAATACAATACAAGCCCAAAGGCCCAAACCTATACTACAACCTAACCTACTTAGGCTTGAGTCAAAGCCCAACTGAAGAGTACTATGGACTTCTCTTGAGCATGGGCCCATTCTTCTTGTATCCTTGTGCATAGTGCTCGGCCTGGGGCGCGAGTGCGTTTTTTGTCGTCGACCGAG